ACCTTAGTGCCCCTTCCAACTGGAAAATAAATTAAAATTTTAATGCGTTTAAATCTAGCTGTTTTTGAAGAGGTATCAGATGGGTCCATAAACTCTCTGGCATTTGTATACAATTGTGTATGTGCATGGATATATGGAGGTGTACACCAACATTTTCCTAGGGAAAACACATTTTTAACTGGATTATTAAAGGCATCTGTGACATTCCACTCCCCTCTACCTGAAAAATTTAAGAACCCCTGATTTAAGGTTTGCCTATATATACATTCAATTCAGAAGCCCCCCCCCTTTTTTTAATGTTACAGGTTGCACTTTAAACGTGGCTGGAAATTTGAACAAGAATTTACACCAGAAACAAACACACAAACAAAAAGCTAGGTCCGGGAACTATTCTGATGATGGGTGATGATGACTTTAGTTCCTAGTGTTTCTATTAAATGAGAAACATTCTCAACAACAGAGAATACAGTCTCAGGATTAGACATTTAGAAATTAAAACCAGAAACCACGGTTGGTTTCTAGTCAGTGAGGCACATATGCATAGTCCCGGGGTCTGGTGTCAGAGGTGTTTTTGGAACCTGACCTGAAACTGTTCCAAGGATCTGTGTGCAAGTTTCATTCTTGCACTGGCAAGCTTTAAGAAGTTTTCTTTCTCCTGGGATATTACCATATCTTTCCTATATACAAAGTAGCACAGAGTCTCCTCAAACCACTTCTCAATGTAACTTCGAGAAGTTGTACATAGAGGTGTCATAGCTAATTTCCTGCAAAAGTATAGAACGTCTTCTTCAAAGATACCCCGAGAACCAAAACCAAAGCCCTATAGCAGATGCTGGATGTTTGGCTTAGAATAATAATTTTCAAGATATTCTTTGAAGCTCCATTAGAGTGCCTACTGTGTCCCCATACCATACAAATGTGCATGGTGCACAGTAGGCACTTGGTAAGTATCTGCTGAATAGTTAATTAGGTAATTAAGAACAAGAATCCAGTTAGGCCAGTCTCAGGGGGTTCCTTTGGGAGGGCATTGGGGCTTAGCTGCTGTCTTCTAGTACGAGATGTTGTACTGAATCTGGCGGGTGTGTCTCGAACCCCTTTACCTACCACCTCCGGCACCTCCACCCACGGATCATCAGTCTGCAAGATTCCTTGGATGGCAATTACCCAATGTGCAATTTCTCCCAAATGTGAATCACAGGAAGACAGACTGGACATTGCGGCTTCTCAATCGAAATGGACTCCAGGATCAAGGGCAAGGAGAAATATGGAAGACCCAGCCCATTGAGTGCTCTCGGAAACCATTCACTAACGGATATTTTATTTATGATCCACATAGTCTATACGCTATTGACGTGCCACTGTCTAGAGCCAACGCTGTGGCATGTGGGGAATACAGGTGCCTCCCAGGAAGGGGTCACACACTAGGTTTCTAACTCATCACCCATCCTCACTCAGTTAACGTTGGTAGTCAATAGTGAGTTGGTTGGCTCGGTCTAGATTTTCTACTCATTCCTGTGATCCATCCAGGGTCCAAACAGAACCCCTCCTCTAGGGAAAATGATCACATATTAATGTCCCAAGAAATTCCTTTTTAGCTACGTGAGAAAAAAGAGAATAGGGCCTCTCCATCACCTGTGCTCTTTACTTGCTGGGAGGAACTTCAGAAAATATTAGGATGTGGAGGAGAAAACGAAATCAATAAAAGGAAGTGGATGGATGAGAAGGCATCCTTGATGAATCCTCCTGTGTGACTATCTTGATGTTGGGTACCTCCAAGGGTCACCTAAGACTCCACAAAAGTAGCCATGGGGGTTATGTGGGATTTTTTTTTTTTTTTCACTATCTTGGGAAAACAATATGGAAGCCATACATGGACATAGGATAAATGACACACTTTTTATTGGGATTTCAGTGACAGGGTATATTCATATTGCATACTTCATGAAGAAGAGAGGTGTAGGTTGGCAGTTAGATAAATCTTTGACAGGTAACAAATGGAAAATAGTAACAAATGCAGCTTGCTAGATGACATCGTAGAAAAGATGTGGATCACTGGGTGCGAGGGAGACTCATGGAATGAGATCTCAACGTGGCAATTTAGGAAATGGTTGGACTTAAGTGCATCCCACATTTCTTCTTTTCCTGAAAGCCTTCTCTAAAAACTGAGCTAAGGGGCCTTCCTTGGTGCTCACACAACACCACACCTTATCACTTATCACATTGATTGAAATTGTTAGCTTATATGGTGCTCCTGCCCCGAATGGGAAGAAACTCCTCCAAAGGGGCAAGACAGCAAGAGATGTTAAGCTAAAATGCACTGGAGTAAAGACATTAGTCAAATCTAGAAATCTTCCCCCCAAGGACTTCGGAAACAAACAGCTACAAATCCATACTATCTCCTGGACCCCCTGAATCCTGATAATGTCACTTCCTGGAAACAGGAACCTCTTCCAACCTCTCTGCTATTTGCTTCCACTCAAGCCCAGGGCTCTCCCTTCTCCAGCCAGGATCTGCTCTGTGCTGCCCCCCACTCTTCTCTCCAAAAGGAGCTGCCTCTGTGCAATTTCCTGCAGCCTAAGCCAACGAGCAAAGGGAAAGGGAAACCTTCACTTAAGATGCTGGACTCACACTTTTTCATTTGCGGCCAGCACACTCCAGGCACTTTGTAATACAGCAAAAACACCCTGGCGGAATTTCCTATTCTCCACCAACACTTTGCTCTCATAGAACCTGCAGACATGGACACGCGGACCCCAGCCTTTTCTCCTCTTCCTCTTCCTCCTCTTCCCCCCCCTCTCACCTCCTCCTGTGCTGAGAATTTCATCTTACTACTTAGAGCGGTTTCAGGATTCCACTCAGAATATTACCAGCAAAGAGGCACAATGTACTATTATAACCAAAATGATTAGGCATATTGCTGGAATATTATAATTAAGTCACGTCTAAAGCAGTCACAAACACAGTGCTTCACCATTTGGAGATGCCCATGTGTCTCCCTGGTGAATGTGGCATTAATTAGTTATGCACGGTTATCCCCGGCAAAGAACAAGTTCATTCTAAGTTAGAGAATTTCGATTTTACAGCAGGTGTGTTATTTTGAGATTTTTATAAATAGTTCATGTGAGGATAAGCCGTATAATTTTACTTTTTTTTTTTCCTGTTCAGTATAGTAGTGAGATACTGAGGGTACATGTACCAAAAAGCTACAATTACCGTCTACTAAGATAAGATAATAATTTTCAGACAAACTAATGTGGTATAAACATGCAATTTTGTGTTTATGGTTTATGAATCTTGCTTTAGTAATTACATGAGCCTACAGGGTAACTTGGTGGGGGATTTTTCCCTTCCTAACAACTTACTGTGTGACCTTGGGAATAACATGTATTTATTTCTGCATTTCTGGATCTATAAAAACGGGCTCAACACTGTGGGGCTGGAGATAATGATTACACTATCGATGATTCTTTGTATCACATGGTCATATGTCTAAGGCTTAGGATGTACAGATGCATCTTTTTGGAGGGTGGGGAGAATTTATGGTGAATTTATCTTTGGTCTGTTATTATCTATCATCATTCCAGTGAAAACGAAATTTGTGCTGTTGTTTTGTCCACTAAGAAACTCAGAAGTGACCTAAGTCTAATCACAACACAAGAAACAACGGACACTGACTGATTTCTCTACCTGTGTTTTCCCTTCCTGATGATTTCATCGAGTTTCATTTATTTATATTCTTAACTTTGTCTTATTGCGTTTGTGTTTGAAACACTTCAAATGCTCTCCTCTGCAATGGGTGAGATATGAATAAATAATGAAAAAAGAGTGGTTTCCTTTGTCATCAGTATAATAGAGAGATGATCTAGGCTCATTCAGGTTTTCTAAAAAATTTATAAGCAACACAGCTATAAAAAATGCATTAACCCTTTTGGTGCAGTCTGGAATACAACCGTATTCTTTCTACAGACCAGAAAGCCAGGCACTGGCCAGGAAAGCCTTGAGCCAAACTGTCTTGCACACAGCTGAGTTTTTCTGAGTAGTACTATTGACATTGGGGGCCTCATGACTCTTTGTGTTGGGGGCGGGGGGGTCCTGTGCACTGCGGATCTTAAGCAGCATCCCTGGCCTCTACCTACTAGATTGCTGCTCCTACTGAGACAACCCAAAATGTCTCCGAACATTCCAAACATCCCCCAAGGACCACCAGAGACCTCTCTTTCTTTCTCCCTGACTCCAGGGCACTGAATGTTCCAGGAGGATACCTTAACAGGAAGAAAGGGTAGCATTTCAGGGCTGCAGCCCACAGTACCACTGTTTCTTAGTGTTCACCAGCCCTCTTTGATTTTCACCTGGGAACGCCAAAGTCCATGCGCACAAAAACCAAACTGCTCACGGGGAACACGTTAACTTGCATTTCCTTGCAGAGGGGAAAAGAAAACAAATGCGCATTTTGGAAAATCGAATGGAAACGAGTCTTACTTCCAACTTCTTTGAACTTTTGCTTTCGACCCCACACCTAATTTTCTCTTCTCAGGCAAGGGTTCATAAACTTTGAAGTGCAAGGTGTCTTTGGGGAGGGCGGCAAGACCACCCCCCCTCCCCCCCCCCCCCCCCCCCCCCAGCTAATTTTATGTTTGGAAACTTCGCGTCCCTCCATGGCCAGATTCAAGGGGCAAATGTGATCCAACCTCCTTAATAACCAGATGTTTGCAATCATCAGAAATACATCTTTGGCTGTAACCATTTCTCTGTTCTCCAGCATTCAGTCTCAAAGAGAATTTACATAACAACATGTGACATGTAGAATGCTTAAAGGCACCAACCATGACAGGACAAATTACATTCATTTCTCAATACTCTTTGCAAGGTGCTCCACTGCAGGCGCGCGCGGAATGCATGCTGGGGCGGGTTCCGGTGGGGCGGTCAAGACCAGCATGCGCTCGCAAACAGGAGGGGGTGGTGCGGCAGGCCCGCCGCCAGGGGGAGGCTGACCGACTTACCCGCCGTAGGCCGGGATCGGGGGCGGGGGCGCCGCGGCCCGGAAGGTGTTGTACACGGTGCGGCCGCGGCCTCGCAGGTGCGCCCCTCGGTAGGCGGCCGCGGCGGTGGCGGCTGGATACGGGAAGCCGGGCACTGCGAGGGCGGAAAGGAGAGAGCAGAGCAAAGGCTTTCAGAAGCACACCTGTTGTTGAGGGCGACGCGCCCCCCCCCACCCCCCCGCCAGGACCCTTCTTCCTGCAGGCGGAAGCTGGACACCTGCCCCCTGTCCAGGATCAGGCTCGTAAAGGGCGGGCAGCGGGGAGGAGGCCAAGGTCCGAGTCCAGGCAGGACGGGCTACTTAAGGCGGGGGTCCCTGTGCCCAAGAGAATAAGGTAAATGACAAACATTTACAAAGACTTAACAACGGGAAGCAAGCTCACTGCACAGAGTTCAGATTTTACAAAGGTAGACTGCAAGATGTATGTGCATTGTGTTGTCAACATCTGTCATCTGTCTATACACACATGTATATTGTGTGTAATATTTATGTGTGAGCATACAACATACATGAATATGGTGTATACACACACGTGCGTGCATGTGAGTGAATATGCATGCCCGTGTTTATATTGTGTTGTATAATGCACACGTCTATGTGAACATGTACTATGCGTACATATATGTTCAAGTATGTATATAATCTTGTATACATACGCACACATATTTCAGTGTGTTCTTAGTTATCTCTGGTGCTGAACTGTGTGTGTGTTGTCTATTCACTGCTTTCCCCATCTTGTTTTTATTTATTTCCCACATTTTCCTTGATGTCCATCTATGGCTTGTTAAAATTCTTAAATTGCAATACAACGTTCCTACGGACACGTGCGTGTATCGTAACTGTGCAAACCCTTTATGCTCCAAGAGACAAATGGTAGCCCCCAAACCACTTAACAGCTTTGAAGACACGTACAACAACCTTATATAACCACACAGAAGTCTGGGAACTCAGCTCTCAAGAAGAGGGTGTGAGCTGGGTTTTTCCTCCTTGGGGGAAAAATTCTCTGAGCAGGATGGCTTGCGGAGGAGTCATGAGGGCAATGAAGCCTGAAGCCAGAGACCCCTGATCTTCATTCCCTTGCCTGGGATGTCCTTCCTCCCGGGGGGGTCTGCAAATTCTGAGACAATGCTCCCTCCGCCCACCCGCCCCCGGCTTCAGGAAACCTCTTCTGCTGCTCCTACTTGTCTGCATCTCACAGGGCTCTTGCTATGCCGAGTGTGTTACCTTTTCTCTCTCCAAAGAACGGGCAAGCTCCTCTCGGCCTCTCCAGCACGTGCCTCCCCAAGTCGGCAGAAGCCCCCCGATCTTATTCACAGTGGGCTCTCAATATTGGACCCCTGAATGGATGCAGGGGTGGCTTCACTACAGCAACAAGTGGATGAAGCTGTAGGTTGTGCAGAGGCCACGTGATGGGCAGTTTCCAGTCAGCCTCCCCCCACCCCACCCTTGTCCCCAGCTTCTTCTCCCATCTACCAGTCTCTAACAGAACAGGAGCTTTCCAGAGGGAGAGAGACACAGGTAAAACAGAGCAGGGCTGGAAGGATTTCTTCCTCTGTGCACTCCCCTCCCCTGCTCCCTCTCTCCTGGGACTTGTTCACGCGGTGTTTGTACGGACAGGCAAGGCTGGGAGGGACAGTGTCTTTGGGCGTGATATGAACATACAAGCTCAGGTCGTCCCACCCCAAGGGAGGCTCTCAAAAGGAGATAATCAGTGCACACAGACCTCTCTCCAGGAGCTCATTTTGGGGGAACCCCTAACTGCTCACAGGGTGTCCTGTTTCATGCTGTGTTGAAGCTGCCTCCACCTTATACCCAAACTGCCACGGAGGGGCTTCTCCCCTTCCTCCACCACATTCAGGAGCAGAAGCCCTCCGTCCCATCTCTTCACTGGCTGTGGAGTCCTCGGACACTCTATGTCCTAGTTATGCAGTGGGGGAGGGCAGGGGATGGGGAGACGAGGCCATGGCGTCTCCCACAAAAGCCCCAATTCCATACCATCTCGCAGAACTGCACAGACTAGACTAAAACCCTTGATTCCAACCTGAAGACTGGCTATCATCTGGAATTCTCTTCGCGTTCTCATGGATTCCACCATATCTTTCTCTCACGACGGAGGGCAAAATGCTGGGATCATAGAACCGAGTCAGAATGATTTTGTCTATTTGTGTTGGAAAAGACCATACAGGTTATTTTTAACCTTTTTTTTTTTATTGCCGTGAAAGACAAATCGCACAGCTGTCCTTAATTCTCAGCTTGCCAGCCCCCAATGCACCCACGTCTCCTGACTTGTGTTACAACTAATGTGCTTGAAATTATAGAGAGGTGTCAGTCTTAATGGGGAAAGCCAATAATTCCGAACACCGTAAAAGCCCAGAAGTAATGAGATCTGAGACGTTTGCTTCCGGACCGGGGAGAAAATGGGCAAGCACACAGCTTTGACTGCAAGTCTGTCTTGCTGCTCAAACATTAAGTTTTCATAGGAACGCCCTGCATTTTGAAATAAAGAAAATGAAAAATTCACAATCTGGCAGAGCAGCTGGCTGCCTGTGTGAGGAAACACGGTCATTATGCTGACCCATTCATTATCGCTGGCTACGGTGCACAGTGAGTGAGACCAGATCCCTCTCAGCGACAAGCAGGTTTTACAATAATTCTTGGAGGATTTAGATGTTGAGATACAACACGAAACAGAAGCTCGACAGCACGAGCCGCTGAGGATATAGAGCCAGGAGTTCATTTGGACCCCCTCTGCTGCAGGGGGAAGATGTCTCTGCCGATGCAGGATAAGGTAGCTACAGGTCTTAATGCAAGGCTTTGGGGGTTTCTCCAAGCAGGGCACACGAGAGGGATTCCTACTTGGTTAAAGGAACAGAGGAGGGAGAACACATCGACTCCTGGTTTAAAAATCACATTTTTGGGAGGCCAAGTGCCCTGAGGCAAAATAAGGGGGTTCCACACTTCATGCTTTGGACCAGAGGCTTCATGGAGGAAGTATGAGTCTCCCAGTTGGAGGGTTTGCTCACCTCTCTCTTTTTTGTTACCAGTCTCAGGCTGCCAAGGGATCTCTTTACGAAGCCTCTAGTTCGTCATCACGATTAATGAACATTTCCGTCCTCTTTCCTTTCTTACTTTCCTCCCTTCTTATTCTGGTCCTCCTTTCTCCCCCCTCTCTTCGTTCTCTTCCTTCTTTCCTTCCTTCCCTCCTTCCTTCCTTTGTTTATGTTTTAATCTCCTTTGGAAGAAATCTGCCACAAAGCTCTCTAGGTCCACCAGCCATCAAGTGGCTTGGACTCTTGCTATTGCTAGAGTGTAAGTTCCATGAGGGCCGAGATCTCCCTATGTTCTGCTTATTGATTCAGAAGAGTGCCCAGAGCACAGAGCAGGTGCCTGGATACCCTTTGTAGGAGGTGAACCAATGTTAGTGTCCCTCCTTCGGGGACAGTAGAGGCACTCCCTCTTCACCTTCTGCCTTCCCTGACACTGCCCTCCATACAAAGTGTCCTGCCCGGGATTTGCACATACACAGTGGGCAAAGGCCACAATAGGATCTTAGCCATGATTCCTATACAAGTAAGTTCTACATCCATACTTTACAGGTGCTGCACTGGCCCAGGAATGGCAACCACGCTTGGGACACGTGTGCTTCTGATTAAAAGGGAGAGGACTTAGATCAAAGTATTATGCTTGGAAGTCTTGCAAAACCTTCATTCACTGAAACTCGCTTTCACTGCTGTGCTGTGTCAGGAATGGGAGATCAGCTTCTTGTTCTGGAGAAAAGTGGAACTCAAATGCCCCCCCCCCCCCCGCCAGCCTCCAGACAGGTGATACCCATTAAAAGGCCTGTGAGGTCAGGTTCCTTCCCTCACATAGCCCCAGATAGTCTCTCTGGCAACCCAACCAATCTCAGCCTCCAAGCGCAATCAATGTATGCAACAAGTAACAATGGAAAATAACATTCCTTCTACTCCCTAACTTCTCTCATTTGTAGCTGAGCCTTCAGGATTTCACCTCATCTCCAATAGAGGAGTCTCCCCCCACCCTCGTGCAGCTGGTTTAGGACTCTCGAGTGGCTCTCTTCTCTTTCCTCTAAGACAAATGGTCAATTCCAAGACAAATCCAACAACAGCTGATTTGTCTGTTTGCTTTCCTACCAGGTGCATTGGCTTGGAGGTGCTGGGACATGGTTAAATGCATATTTGAAGCAATTACCCAGACAGATGATTCAGGCAGAGATTAAGCAACAGTGAAATGGCTTTATCCTTGAACCACATAGAAAGAAGACATCTCAATTATGTGCTGACTTTGGCACGTGACACACCTATCGCTTGTTGAGTCAAAGTTATCACATTGTCTATCAATGCCCCAGTTTGGGAGTTTGGATCCAGTGGGTGGGTAATAAATGTTTAATAAATCTAATGCAAAATGCCAAATGGAAACTCACAATGTCCTCTCCATTTCTGGAACGGAGTAAATCACTGTTAATCAAAGTCGTAAACCTGTCACCCTGTCCCATGTTTGTAAAAGCCACTTTGTTAATTAAAGAACAATGTTAGAAAGAAAAGACACCAAATTATAGGCATTTCTAAATCCCTAATGCTGGAGTTTGATTTTTTTTCTAGTTGAACTTCCTTCCAGTTAATAAACATGTAAAGAGACCATCATTGGGCAACAATGGAAAGGATTCAGGTCGCTTTGTGGATACAGTATAAATCCTCAGCTGTTGGCATGAGGGATACAAGGGAAGAGGGGAAGAAAACACAGGTTCATTATACTGGAAAGGTTCCCTCTTAAACCTTATCCAGCATGAATCAAAGTGAAAAATCTGGTATCACTGCAACGAAAATTGGATTTAGCTCATAAGCTAAAAATGAGTTTCTCTCAAAGAAAACAGGGCAAGAGCTTTTGGAGCAAATACCAATTGCACATCTTGTTGACATATCAACATTCCTAGCCTACCCACTCCCAACCTTCAGCTCGATTTATACCCAGAGCATATTTTGGGGGAGGTTAGTAGAATAACGCTCTCAGTTCTTGGGCATGAGGAGTTGTATACCATGGAACTCAATGGAATGGAAACTTTAGGGATGTAACAAGA